GGAAAAATGTCGAAGGTGGGATTCCACTTACAGGTAGAATTCTAAGTGATGAGTGAAAAGTGAAAGATACATAAGTGGCTATGTAAGATGATGAAAAAGTTTGATCTGCATAAAACACTCTTTGACATCTCATAACACCCCGGCCTGTACAAGGGTTGCCTCCTATCAATCTACCCCGGAGGAAACAACAGAAAATCACTTATTCAGATGTTTCTGTCACACAGACCTTCCTGACATCAGCAAGATGATATCTCGGCGTCAGCTCGACAAAATCGCCTCCCTCTCCGGCTGCGCACGCTCCGTGACCCGGGTCAACTGTCCCTCCAGCCGCCACTCCCGCAAGTACCGCACCATCGACGGGAGCTGCAATAACAGGGAAAATCCGCTGTGGGGCTCTTCACTCACACCCTTCGACCGTTTCCTGTCGCCGATCTACGAGAACCAGTGGAACGAGCCCGTGGGCTGGAACAAGGATCGGGAGTACAACGGATTCACCCTGCCCAGCGTCCGCCATGTTTCAAACCAGGTAGGTCTGAATAACAATATGTAGGTCTTTAAAATCGTTGAGAAAGATAGGACGGTTTTCTAATTTCTTCTGTAAAGAATCGTCAGCATTCTGCGAAGATGTTAAACATGAGACATGGCAGTTCACTGACGTCGACAGTTTTTTTTTTTGTTTGAGGCATAACAGTAATCAAAACGGCAATCATATTTTGGAAGGAGCAACGAATCGGACTGCAGGATTGAAATCTTAATAGAATAGTTAGTCTACATCAGTACAGAATATCATACCTATCTAAACTAATACCGCTGTCATTGTGGAAAACGTCGTTATTACTCCGTGAAGGAGGTCAGGACCTCCGGACGGAGTGTTGTAATCGGCTGATTTTTCATGTTCGCAGTCAAAACACTGGGTTCTCTTTGTGTAATCGGCACGCAATTTTATACGCCGTCTGCGGGCATGCCCGTGTTGATGCACGAATGTGTATTTTTGCCGTTGCTGCTTTCGCGGTCAATGTAATATCGCAGACGCACCCCTACAATTACGAGGCGAATTGGAATGGTCCAGAAAAACGCGTTGTTTGGAATAGCAGTGGGGTTCAAAAAAGTTCATGCAGATACGGGGTGGTTTTTATAAGTGGTTCCAGATGTTTTTGCCCATGGTTAAGAGATGCCAAGTTTTTTGGAAGATGTTCGCAGCCAAAACGCATTCTTCCGTACGTCGCATTTCTGTGTAATTTCGCATGTGGTGTTGCATTATGTCCGGGATGATGCACGTCTTTTTATTTTTACCGTAGCTGTTTTGATATTGGAGTAAATGCTTATTTTCGAAACATCCCCATTTCT